TGTGGGGTAGAGTCAGTACTTCCCATGAAGTACTTTGGAAAGCACTCCAATCCTAAAGAAATAATGGCAGAAACTATTAAAGTAGGAGCCTGGTCCAGGGGCTCAGACATGAGACATAGCTTACAAGTTATGGAATCTCAAATTTGAAGTTAAACATGGCAGAAGGTTTAGATTGAAAGCAGCAGAGTGGTTTTAATTTAAGGATCACAACAGCTCATATTCAGGGCTCAGTTTATGTAAATAATGAGCTGGTAGAAGACGAGCAAGTTCCTTTCTAGAGAAAGCACCATGATGCAACTGAAGATAATCAAAGTTACGGTGTGACAGTATCCAGCAGTACTTTACTTACAAAGGGAATTTTAACAAAGCTACCCTCCATCTCATAATTTACACTGTCATTCTATCTCAGAGCTGCTTTTGAGACAATTACTGTTCAGCTTTAGACTTCATTAATGAAAATAAACTTGAAAGACAAGTTTAATCCTGCAACAATGCCAGGGCACTCCAACCACAGCTCTCAGAGGTCGATAACCCACTGGACAAAGCACAAAATTAATATATGTTGTTTTGAAACTTTTAATTAATTCTGGCCAAGCAAGTTCCTACAAGTAAGTCAAATAATTAAGGCTAATTTAAGAGACACTTCAGTAAAAGCACAAAATGAACCTAAAGAATCAAATACAGCATACAACAGCATGCTTTACAGTAGGAACTGTAAGTTATGGAAACTCAGATCTGTAACATACAAACTGTAAAGCTAAGTCCATAAGTAGCTGTAAGAGCTACTTTATACTAGTTTTGTTCTTTTATACTACTTAAAATGCTAACAGGTATCCAGAGTAGCAACTGAAACTGAGTGGTCAAGAACCAGCTGATACACATGAACAAGTCACCTACTGCTAACCCAAAATCTTGAATTAAACTCAGGTTTCAAGAAAACATGTCATTACAAGAGGTGACAAAGATGTCATGTGCTTTACAGTATCTCTAATAGTGAGCAAGCTTAGTATCTGCAACAATAAAACACTCCTCAAAGTTGCATTAGATCCCTGACTACAAAGCAATGCCAAATATTAACAATAGCTGAGGGTTGGCCTTGACCTACATTTATCAACTATAAAAACGCTTTTCTTGCATATCTGTATATACTTAAAATCCTTCAAGCTCTTCATGTTTCCAAACATCACCTCTGTATGTTGAAGTCACTGAGAACATGAAGTGCTTCTAACACTCACTTGAGCCTTACCTGCAAAGCACACACTGAAACTCTGGAAACTGCACTGAATGTCCTCATTTGAAATGTCAATTTAACATGAAACTGCTTCCTGCAACACATAGTCTGCCTTAGGTATGACTTTCCACCCTTTATTATGCTTAGCTCTAGTAAGATTGAGCCCCCTGCAGTTTGTAAGACCTGACACTGCTTTTCAAGCTTTCCATTCAATCCACTGAAATTCAGGATTGCCAGCATCTGTCTGGAGAACACCCCCTTCAGTTCAACTCAACTCCATCACTTCAACACAGTTCAGCAGACTTGCAGCAGTATAAGAAATGTGAATTTAAATATAAGGAAAGCATCAATAACAACAAGCAGTTAAAGTCAATATTTCAGAAATGTGACTTGCACACCAAGTAACACTCTACCCAAGAATTTGCAAGTAAAAATAAAGTTTATATATTATGGTATGTGCATCTTTTTCAGTGAAAGGACTGATACAACACATCTTCATCCCTGAATGCTGACTGAAGCTGATTTTATCTGTCATCTTTTTATCATTGTGGGAAAGATTTTTACAATGAATTTTTGATTAAAAATCTTGAGGACATGCAGTACTTTCACATTTCTCGTTAAAATACTAAGTACTTGAATAATGCACAGTCCCCAGAGCACACAGCCTCTTCTGCTGCCATCTCAAGACCCGTACATCACCTGTAAATTGTGGATGTCTTTATGTGTCATCTTGCGATCAGCCCTGTGACAATGAGTGGTCTAAATGGTCTTGCTAAGGGGCTTAAAATAGGATACTATAAAAAACAGAAGCGTCAAAGCCATATGTTTGGCCCGAAATGAGCCAGCTGATAAATATAACCAGTCCAGCTTTTATGTGGCAGTCAGCAAGCGTCGGCTACAGCGCTGAATTAAACAACTCCCTTGGTCGGTCTTCCAGGGACAAACCAGTGCTATCAGCCCGCGCGGCAGTGAAGGAGTTTTACCATTTGCGTTCTGGCCGGAGTCACGTGAAGGACGGGATAGAACACACGAAGCCCACAGGGGACAGAAGGGCCCGGGATCAGCCCGGGTTTGAGATCACCCCATCAGGGCAGCGCGGTCGGGCCCGCTCATGCCCAGCTCCGGCCGCCCCTGGCCGCCGGCGGACTCAAGCCCGCGGGATGAGGCCGTGCCAGCCCCGGCTCCCCCTTCGCCCGGAGGCGGCCGTGGGGCCCAGAGGAGCTGGAGGCGGGGCCGGGCCCTCTCCCCGCGCCCGCCGGGCCTCCCTCCCCTCCGCCATGCGGCGCGGCCGCGCCGGCCCGGCCCTTTCCCCGCGCCGGCGCCGCGCCGCCCGCTCCCTCCCGGGCGGCCTCCGCTCAGCGCCGGGGGATTCCGGGTGGGCTCTCCCGGGCGGGCCCGGCCGTGGAGTCCCGGGGCGGGCACGGCCGAGAGCAGGGTTGCGGCGCGGGAGGCGACCCGGCACCGCGTGTGTGTGGGCGCGGCCCGCACTGACCGTTCGCCCGCTTCAGGGCGTTCTCGGGCCGCTGGAAGTACACCGGCATGATGGCGGCGGCGGCGGCTCCTCACGGGGCGGCGGCGGCTCCGAGCTCCAGCCAGGCGGCACGCGCGGCCGGAAAGGGAGGGAGCGGCAGGGGAAGGGGAGGGAAAGGGGCCCGCGCGCGCCCTGACGGCAGCGGCGGAAGCGGAACCCCCGCCCGGCGCGCGCGCGAACCGCCGGGAGGGGAACCGGGAGCGGTCCGCGGCCGCCAGGCGGGACCGGGAGGGGAGCGGGACGGGGGCCAGGAGCGGGACCGGTTCCGGGTCGTGGGGGAATTGCGGAAGAAGCGGGAGGGGGATTGGGACCGGGACCCTGAGGGGATCGTGAGATGGGGACGTGGGGAGATCGGGACCGTGAGGCGGATCGGGATCGGGAGGGGATTGCGGGGCGAGCTCCACGAAGCCCTTTGTCCGCAGCCATAAACGGTATTGGGGGCACGGGGGATTTGTCGGGGGACGCGGTCGGGTGGTGCTGGGCCCCGTGAGTCCTGCGCCTGTCTCGCAGATTCTCTTATTAGCATTGTTCTTACTGTTCTTTCCTTTTCCATTGATGCTTCTAGTAAATCGTCTTTAGCCCAACCCGTGATCTTTACCTTTTTGTACCTCAAATTTTCCATCCTGTCGCAGGGGGACGTTGGGAGGGACGTGAGCGAGTGGTGCATAGTCTGGGGTGTTTCAGTGGAAGCCTTAAATTGGGGAATTCTATTCCTAAACCATGACAAACCTGTATTTTAGTATGGTCTGCTTTAAGGAAAGTCGTGACTAAGATATTTATAGGTCAAGTGCTTTCCTTGTGTTCATAAAATTAATTTTGTTATAAATAAATCAATCAAATTTGATGTCTGTCGGGTGGCTACCTGAGGTGTGGGTGGCAGCTGTGCCCATGTCACCGGAGCCAGTGGTGACAGCCACTCATGGGGACTGCAGCTGCCCTCCCTGGTACTTCTTGCTGGAATTGCTATTGCACAGCCCACTCCATGGTTTTGGATCTCTGCAGTTCCTGAAAGCCCTCCGGGCTGGGATCAAGACGATTTTGTATCAGGAGCAGCTTTTATCTGTCTTGTCACGTCTCTTCCTATGTGGTAGTTGAGTATATTTAATGTGTGTGCTTCATGATGTGATGACAATCATATGGCAGGCTGCCCCTTAGGGTGTTCCCTAGCCAGGTCTCTCACAACTTCACATGTTTTTTTAGCAGCTTCTGATGCTCCTCTAGTTAATCCCAGTTATTTCAGAAGTTTCTTCTAATCAGAAGTTTCTTCTAAACAGTGTCATGGTATTCCTAGAATCATTTATGTTGGAAAAAACCCTTAAGATCATGGAGTCCAACGTTCAGGTGCCATTGTTCATCCAAACTTGCAAATGAGATCCTTACATTCTCAATAAACTTGCTGATGCATGGAGTTGCTCAGGAATAGCTGTTCTTCCATGACTTCCTGACACCACCCAGTCCCCCCTTGGGCACAAGCCAGCCTTTATCCAGGCTGTGTAGAAACACAGGGATGTCTGTGTTTTGGGTTACTCAGGGTACAGCTCCTGGCCCCGACTTCAGGAGGTGGTTGCAAGCAGGGCCACCCTTCTTTTGTGTAACATTTCACATGAACTCTGCCCCGTGACTTACAGAGGGCTGCAGAGATGATGACGGCACTGGAGCTCCTCAGCTTTGGGGAAAGGCTGAGAGAGCTGGGCCTGTTCAGCCTGGAGAGGAGACAACTGAGCGGGGATCTCATCCATGTCTGTCATTATCTGAAGGGAGGTGTCAGAGGATGGACCAGGCTCTGCTCGGTGGGGTCCAGCAATAGGACAGGAGGCAACAGGCACACACACGGAATTCCACCTGTATACGAGGAAGAACTATATTTTGCAGTAATCACGCACTGGGACACTGCCCACGGAGGGTCTGCGGTCTCCCTCACTGGAGATGTCCAAAAGCCGTCTGGACACGCTCCTGAGTACCATGCTCTGGGGACCTGCTTGAGCACCGGTTGAGCTCCATGGTCCTTCCAGCCTGAACTGTGCTGTCATTCTGTGACGCAGACAACAGAAAAGACACGTTTTTCCCACAGTGTTTTCTCCGTTTTCCGCGTTGCCGCCGGAGAACTGGCGGGCGGGTCCCGGAGGAAGAAGGCGCCGGGAGCGCTCAGTAAATGGCGGGGGGGCGGGCCCGGGCCCGGCCGGCCGGGCGGAGCGGCGCCGTGAGGGCCGGGCGGGCCCCGGCGGGCGGAGCGGGGCCGGGCGGGCGGAAGGCGGCGGAGCGAAGATGGCAGAGCCGGAGGCGCAGCTGCTACGGGCCGTGGGGCTGATCGGTGAGGGCCGGGGGAGCCGGACCGGGCCGGGGCGGTACCGGGGCCCGGGGCGGTACCGGGGCCCGGCGCGCTGAGGCCGCGGGCCCGGGCGGTGCCCGGGCGGTGCCGGCTCTGCCTGTTGCAGAGCTAAGCCGTGCACAGCTCGGCCGAAGTGTCTGAAATTCGCGGCTTCCGAGGTTTGTGTTGCGAAATCAGAACTAGGGAAGAACATAAATAAGCCGGTCCGGGTGCTTGTTCCTCCATACCGTGCTCGTGTTGAATGTGCATTCAAACTTGGTGCTTCTTTGACCTCGTGAAGCAGGTCAAGAATGGAGATGTATTAATATTTTAAAAATGAAATTCGTATCAGAATTCCTGCCTTAAGGCTTAAACTGCAGTGGCAGAACTGGATGTCTAGGGTTAGAGTAAGGTGGAATTTTAATCTGATTCCAGGAAACAAACCTGATTAACCCATCAATTTACTTCCTTGCTGCTGTTTGGCATTCTCACAGTGAGCATCTTTCCACCATAGAAAAAGACACCAACGGAGATGCTTTGTGGGTTTGGTGTTATCCGTCCGTAACAGCTGAACTGAGGACTCTGTTGCTTCGAAAGTGCTGCCTTACAGATGAAAACAAATTGCTCCATACGTTTGTGTTTGGCCAGTATAAAAGGTCTTGGTTCTACATCACAACGGTAGAAGTTCAAGATTCTCCAGCTTTGAAAAAGGTATGACCTGGCGGGGTCTCTCAGTAGAATGCAGGGAGGGCTTCTGCAGAACTTCCTCTGTGGGTTACAGCAGTCTTTTCCCATTGAGAGAAATGTGAGGAAGAGAAGGGATTCAAGGTGTTGTGTGCTCACAGATACAGCTTTGTCCAGATGCCCAGCTGGTCTATGTTTCGTTTGTCACCAAGACATGGAACTGCAGAATGATTGAGATATTCATTACCCAGTTCTTTGTGTTTACATACAAATGCTATTTCATGCTGCTGTTTGTAGTTAATTTGCATTTCAAGTTCAGCATTTTTTTCTCTCTACAAAGTTTGTTTCATAGTGTTCAGAATCTTGTTCCTATAGAACCTGCTGCCTTTTTTCCCCAAATGATAGTTATGTAGGAACTTCCTTTTCCACTGAGTTGATTACTGGAAGACAGCAAATACAGTTGTATCTTCTATCTTTTTCCTGTTATGAAATCATTAAACTGTTGGTTAAGTCTGTCCAGTTTTCATGTTTCATGCTATGTTGTTAAGTAGGAAGATAATGTGGTAATTTTGTATGCCCACAGCAGAATGTTGCTTGCCTTTCCTCAGTCCAAGTTTATATTTCCTATGAAGTAAAATAAAATTAAATGTCACAGTGCTGTCTTCAATAGTTGCAGTGGGAGACGCTCTTTCAGGAGGACACATGACCCTGGTTGTTGTCTGCAGACTTTCAGTCTTGTACTGTCCCAGCATACAATCATTTGATTGAGGAAGTTAAGTAGTTCTGTTTGTGGGCCAGTTATCTGTGTATTTTTTCCAGTCTCTTTCTAAATATGTTGATGCTGTCTGCTTCCGCAGCCTCCTTTGGCAACAAATTCTGGACGTTTCCTCCCTGCTGTGGGGAAGAAAAATGTCTTTCTGTTTTTTAATAACTTCATGAGATTAGAGGAAATCAACTCTTGTTTGTAGGTTAAGCAGAAGATAGTCTGTAGTAGAGCTGAGTCACATCACAAATCCTCTGTCCAGGCCACTCCTGCAGTTAGGAACTTGGATCTTTGAAATAAAGTGACACTGTTTGTGTGGGGTCATTAGCTGAGCTCTGTGTGTTTCTGTGCCTGTGTCATGTGCAGGTGACCCACTTCTCCATTGTGCTGACTGCCCAAGACTTCAACCCAGAGAAGTATGCAGCCTTCACCAGGATCCTCTGTAGGTCTGTATAAAAGCTGGCCTTAGGTACTGCTGTGTGCATGCTTAGATCTTGCCAAAGCAAAAGGTTGAATTCATTGTGTTGCATTTGTTCAAACAAATTGCTCGAAACTCAGTCCTACAAATGAAATCAGATGATAAAAATCCTTGATTTGAGCTTGTTGTATACAGCAAGTGTTGAGTGAATGTCAGATGTTCATTGAGTTTTAATGTGTGTCTTCACCAGACACATACCACCACCACCCTCACACTCATTTTCTATGAGAATGTATTTTTAAAAAGTGTAAATGTTTGGGAAGATGTCAGTGGCTGGGCTCAAAGACTGACTCAAAGATGTGTATAGTGAATGACTTGCATCCCTGCACAACAGCTTCGTAAATGCTGCTTGCAGCTCCTCTGAGCTAAGCACAGCACCCAGGGATGGTTTTGCTTTTCCTATAGGGAAGTGAGAGCCCTCTTCCAATCAGAAAACCTAATTTCCTTGTCTTGTTTACTCACTTCCGTTCATGTCCCCATTCTCATGCCCTCTCTGCTTCTTATTTTGCTTTTCCTTCAGTTTCTGAGTTAGTTCAGTCCCAGTTCCTGATACCAAGAGTATTCCCTGAGATTTTGCAGCTAATTAGATGCAATTCTGAGGTTATTGTGCTCTTGGGACTTACTATATGTAATGCAGACTTGGGAATGTCTTCAGGCTTACCAATTCTGCAGGGCACTGAAAGACTGAGATATGATAGATGAAATACTTAGATTCACTGTGGATCACATTTCTGCTGATTTACCAGCTAATACTTCCTTTCAAATCTAGGATGGATTCTTCTAAGCATGATAATAATTGAGTTTCAAATGTGATGTAGCTTTGTGCTATAGCTGACATGGAAAATGTGTAGTTGACGGCTTCAGTGCTATTCCTGAAATATCTTAACCTGTAAAATAGGTTACAGTGTGTCTCTGCTTCCTGGAAGACAGCTGACAGTGCATGGGTTCTCTGCGTGCTTCTTCTGTGTAGTTTTGGGTTTTTAATGAGTATCAAGGGCATGTTTATATTTTTTTTTTCATCATTTAGCAAAGAGTAGAGAAGAATGGCAAAAGATACCTGGATAAAAGATTAAAAGCTGTGTAGTCATAGTGTGCATGTAATAACAGGAGTTACTGTGGTAGTTGCTTTTTCATTAAGCAGACACCTTCCAAGTCTGCAAAGAATCCTTTGTCTGGACACCTGCCTACACCTTTGGGGTGTGTTTCTGTCTTAGTCTGTGTTGCTTCATTCATAAAACAGAAAGCTGAAATAAAAATAGGGTTATTTTAAATTCTAAGACAGACATGTTCGTGTGCATGTTGGAAGATTTCTATTTTATTATTTAAAACCTCAGCCAAGTGTCCAGAACAAGAATTATTGCCAGAAATATTGCTATTTGGGATACTGATTTTTAATTTTTCATATATATATTGGTGCACTGATGCAGTTAAAATACCAGATTCTCTCCTTTTCACACAGAATCTACTTGAAGCATGGAAGTCCAGTTAAAATGATGGAGAGTTACATTGCAGTCCTTACAAAGGGCATCTGCCAAAGTGAGGAGAATGGATCCTTCCTCAGCAAGGACTTTGATGCTCGGAAGGCTTACCTTGCTGGCTCCATCAAAGGTTAATCTCTGCCAGAGTCTCTATTCTGATTTCTTGCTTACAGCCTAAAATACAATCTTATTTTCATGTATGCTTCAAGTAAGCTGTGCTGACACTGTTACCTGTGCTGTTATTATTAAGATTCTTCAAAAATATGATATCAGCATATGTATCTTCTAGCAAATAATTTCCCTTCTTTTCTAGATATAGTGTCTCAGTTTGGAATGGAAACAGTTATTTTATATACTGCGCTGATGTTAAAGAAGAGAATTGTAGTGTACCATCCTAGAATAGAAGCTATCCAGGAATTTACCAGGTACTTTATCAATTCCTTCTTTCCCACCCACCCCCAGAAGTCCACCAAATTTGGAACCTTCATTGAGAAAAAAGCCCGTATTTTAAGGAAAAAAAAAAATCTATCTTAAACCTGTTTATAGAAATTCTGCTGAATCCTTAAGGTTTAGCTGTATGTTGGCTCAACTCAGAAAAATTTAATGGTGGAATGAGTGATAAACTCTGCTTGCACTGGTAGCAGAAATCTCTCCAGTTCATGTACATAAATATATATAAAATATATATATTTACACATATACCCCCTCAAATGAGACCTAGTGATAATTGTTCTTTTTCATGGCATACAATTTTTACTGTGTAGCTTTAGTAAGTGTAAGTAAAAATCCACTGTGTCTCAAGTTGCACCATAATCTCCCCAGGACTTTGCCTGCTTTAGTGTGGCATCGACAAGACTGGTCAATTCTTCATTCATATGTGCATCTAAATGAGGAGGAACTGGAAGCCTTAAAAGCTTGTACAGGTACTGGTAATATATTAATCAAAAATACCAGGAAAATTCAATTTCATCTTCTCTTGCTGCAAAGTTCTGCACCAGGGAATTTTGGAGGGAAAAAAGGGTTATTTTGCTATTAATGCTACTGATCAAAGTTAAACATCATTTCCTCTGGAAAGGGCAAACCAACTAAACAAGTATGTGGGAAGATAATTAGTTAATCTGGTGGCTTTGGGTGGATCCACATCAGTCTGTCTCTAATCACAGATGCAAAGCAGCCTTGAGACTTTTTTGATGCTTTGATTGGAGGGATTGAAAGTCTTCCTGTTTCAGAGAAGCAGCTCATTTAGATAAGCTATTTTTCCCAGCTTCTACACATCACTAGTAATGGAATGTTTTTTTATAATTCCTAACTTTGAAGTCCCAGACTTCTATTTTGATGTCAGTGAAATCTTAGGCTCCTAAGCACAGGTAAACTTTACCTGTTGGAGTTTGGTCTGTGTGACACAGTGCTATGTATGCATAGTGCTTAATGCATAATCCAGGCCCTTGCTTTATGCAGAGGTTACTGTGACACATCATGTGGCCATTAATAGGCTTCTTTATGTAGAATATGAGCAGGAAGACTACTCACCTTCAACATTTCTACAGCTCACTAAGCATCTTCCACGGAGAAAAACTGCTCCAAGTTTGCTCACCTGACATGCTATAAATAAGAAAATCTGCTGGGTTTATTCCTCTGTTCCAGTCTAATACTGACTTTGTGACAAGAGGCCCCAGAGTGGAGATTTTTGTAATGAGACAGTTGCAAATGAGTAATTTTAGTAGGAAGGAAGAGGAAGAGAGTTTTAAAATTTCAGATTGGTAACTTGGTGATATTGCTGTAGTGTTAGCAGTTAATCCATGCTCAAGGCAGTTTTAGAAGTCAATTTTTAAGCTCCTTGGAAATGACACATCTGCTGAACACTTGTTGAATGATTATATCGAGAACAACCTCCTGTGTCTAGTGGATATTGTGTCAAATACTCTTAGAACAGACTTTAGGACTGTGATTTTTGATTTTATTTATGAAGAACCTAATCTTGCTCAATTCCGTGCTCTAGGTTACATCGCTGGATTTACAGACTCTGAAGTGAGCAGTAGATCAGACCTCTATGACGTGTATGTGAATTTGGCAGACAGTGAAATTACAGTTTCACCTGTAGTAAAAGGTTGGTTGCTGTTTATATTTTGGATTTAGAGGCAGTTTATTCCAGAGTTGACAGTAATTGCTCAACCTTGCTGTAGGTCAAACAATCTTGATCCTTCTTCCATCCAGATTTTGAAAAGTCAGTATGTAAATTTCTGTCTTCATTTTATTGCCACCCTGGAAGACTGCTTAAAGTTGGAATTTGGAAAGCTGTGCTTTGTTTTCCAACAAATGCACAACTGAGATTTCATAACATCCATATTAGACATGGAAGAGACTTCCAGCTGAATGGAGAGGTTTTACATGAATTTTTAGAAAAACATATCACTAAATACTTGACGACTGGGCATTATTTGAAAGAAATCCTTTTGTGTTGCTTATCATCTTGCTGCTCCTTATCACTGTTTTGGGCCACTTCAGAGGTACTGGCTGTTGATACAAGATTATTGCCTTTACCAACAGATTTCAAATGGCAGTCATGAAAAGATTCCTCAGTTTGGTGTGTTATTCATATGCATTTCTAGGTGTCACAAAAACGTGATTTTATGTGTGGTTTTGTTTTTTTTCTTACACAGAGGCAATGACAATGGGAAAACTTCACAAAGAAATTGGACAACTAATTGTTCAATCTGCAGAAGATCCAGATAAATCAGACAGCCAAGTCATTAAGGTTAATATTTTATTTTTAAATCTAATTAACTTCTATTGCTAAATCTTGGCAGAAGGAGGGAGTAGGAGGAGGAGTGTTACTGAGAATCAGTCTCTTCTACCTTCTGCCTTTTTAAAAATGAGCATTTTTATTCATCATGCAGGTTTTTAAGGATAACTTACTTGATTTATATTATCTCTTGAGTAACTAACTACATTGCTGAAGAAAGTTCAGAATTTGTATTGATTGTAAGATTGATTTCCCAGTTTTATTCCACAAAGCATGGATTTTCCTCAATGCTTTGTCATTAGTATTACCAATACCTTGAAAAGGTCCTGCTGAATATGGCTTCTTAGCTATAAAACCTGATTTTTATGATGATGGCATTTTATCACTCCCTCCACCATCTAATACTAGACATTTCACAACTGAGTGACTTAGTCACAGAACTCAGTAGGGTCAGGAGAGGAGTGGTTGTGCATCCTTTATCCAATATGGCATGAGAGCAGGCTGAAGAACTATTACAAGGTTACCTTAAAATAAATGGGGTTTTTATTTTAAATGAGCTATTTATCATTATTTCCTTTTATTTGTTCTGTATTGATTGTTTTTTATCTTAAGTGTATATGAAAACCTTTTAATACATAATACTATATTCATGGTTGTTTGTTTTTCTGTTCCTTAAGGACATTTCTCTGAAGACAAAAGAAATCTTGGCTACTTTAGCCTCACTTACTGAAGTTTCTGATGGCAATGAAAAACCAACCCTTAATGCTGAGGCCCTGAAACAAAAGCGATTTCCACCAGCCACAGAAAACTTCCTTTTTCATTTAGCAGCTGCTGAACAAATGCTCAAAATCTGATTTTGATGCACTGCAGTGTTATGGACCAATTCTGAAAAAGTTGTCTCTGCCACCCAGATAGGTATACCTGGTATTTTATGTGAAAAACTAAAGGTGTGAGTCAATGTCCTAGTTACCATGATGTAATGCAGAATATTGGAGCTTGACTGGGAACATATGGAGACATATTTGGGAACATTCCTGGTGTTATTATCTCCCCCCAACTATTAAAAGTGTACCTATGGCTCCTGTATTTCACACCACAAAGTGAATGGATGTATAAGTAGCACAGGCCAGTGTGTCCAGGCTGTGGCAGATATCAGTGTAGTGGCTGTTTGTCCTGCACATCTCAGAGGCTGGACAGCTCTGACTTGTCTGTTTGGGGTCTGGAACACGGCTGCTGTGAACCCAGCACAGCTGGGTTGTGCTGATCTCTGCACAGGGACACCCTGAACATGCAGCTGCTCTGAGTGCTCCTGCTGGGCTTCCAGGGATGTCAGCCTGTCAGATGCTGCTCTTGCTCTGGACTGCCTGATACCTGGAAATCCCAAATAAATGGACAAGTTCTCTCTTTCTACTTGAAAGTGTCTAGGTGTGAATAAAGGATGTCTGAGAAAATCTGATGTGGTAGCCTTAGTATGAAAAGGAAGGGATATTTTGAAGCTCAGGTGTGAGTTGAGCACCTCTTTTGGACTCTTGCCTTAGAGGTTTCCCCCCTTTCACTCCATCCCATCTCTCTGATGGAGGGATAAGACACAGGATTACTGTGCTTGAAGTGGGGCTTCCTAGGGGGTTCGTGGACAAGTGCTGCCTTACAGCTGGAGTCATCTAAGAAGTTGTTGGGGCTCTCAGCTGAGAAGAGACCTGGCCATTCATTCCTGATGCATGTGAGAGAAAGATGAGTCAAAGCCTTATGCACCAGGAATGCTCAAATGGCCAGCTGCCACAGCTAGAGCAGCAGCTTCATGAATGGCTGGAGCTGTAACACAGGTACTGTCTGATGGTGCTCTATGTAAATTAAATCTAGATGGGAACTTCTGAAGTCATAGTGAAAACTGAGAAAGAGTTTAGAGAAAATTAAAATTTACCTGCTTGTTTGGTTGCACAGCCATAACTCAAGAGTGGTTTTTTTGTTTGTTTTTTTTTTTTTGAGGGGGGGGTGGGTTTGGTTTTTTTTTTTTGTTTTATTTTTTAACTGAGCAGCCTGAAACTAACTGCTTTACAATCTTCTGAGAAGAATTTAGAGTCTGTAAGGAAATGCTCTGAGCCAAACAATCTGTATTTGTTCAGAAACGTCCACAACAAATCAGTCAATTCTGCAGTAGCACTTTGTTAAAAGAAAAAATAGCCTTTTTCCTGGCCTTTGTACAGATATGTTGTAGCATGTGGTTTTACATAGAGATTTTATACTTACGATTAAAACTTTAGTAACCAATATTTATATTGTTAAATAATTGGATGTTTGCTATTCTGAAACTGGTAGAGCTTATCAATAACTATGTGCAAGCAATATTGGTTGGAAAAAGAGGTGTCCTTTTGCTATGTATGATACCTTAAGGGAATCTATTTTAGAATGTGATTAAGGAATGTGGCATCTGTGTATACATTGGGTGGTTATTACAGTCAGGAAATGAAAGTGCTTCAGAACAATCCCCTATTTTCAGGGGTTTAAAATTCTGCTTTAAACTTAGTCTGAAGTCTGAACACAGTAGCATGTAAATTTTTTTTTTAACTTCTGAGAAAAATATTGCAACTGCCTTTGTTTCCCTGTAAGTGCTCCACAGCTTTTTTCCCCATTTGCCCATTAATGGTTTTTGTTAATGGTTCTTTAATATTGCTGCTTCTATTTTGGGACCTATAAAACAGTTGGATTAGAAGAGCTGCAAAACTGTGCTGAAAATTCTATCCAGGACCTACTTTAAAGTCCACTGAAATGGAATTCTTTCACCAAGGAAAACCTGAATCTGCTTCAGCCAGCTTGTCTTAACACCAGAGTGTAACTGAGAAGAAATCCCCATCATTTCTTATTAACAAACTGCCTTAAAGCATATCTAGAGACAACCACACAAAGCAGAGGAGCTCAGCTGCAAACTAAACCTTGAATGCCTGCTTTGATTTCTGTTCTGGAAATGTTTCAGTTGAAAATTTCAGTGTTGTATTAGATCTCCTGACGTTTGTGCAACACAGATGAAATACAATTTTGCACTTAGGGAACTGGACTCATAGCATGCTTATGCCTATTAAAAAATTCCTGAACAGTCTACCCTTTAATTTATGTAAATTTATTATTGAATAGTTGTGGCCATAGAGCCAGAGGCCTTAGCTCTTAATTTTGCAATACTGGGATTGAGCTATGGTTTGGTCTTTAGGTTGGAAATGTTCAAATGCTTCTGTCATTGCTGATTTTTATCAGCACTGTACAAGATTTATTGGCCCCCCTCAGTTTCAGTGTGTTCAAAGGATTGTCTTAATGTTCTTGCATTTTCTTAATGACTTTTGACACTGTTTCCTTTCAAAAATGTTTAAAATAAAATAGAAAAAAATGCAAGGTCTGGACAGGAAAATATTTCTACTTCTTTCTCACTTCCCTTTCCCCAGGAGGCACACAGGCAGACTCTGTGTGCAGTTGCTCTTCTGCAGTCAGATGACATCCTTTCTTCCTCCTAGAAGCAAAGGCCGTTTAAAATGGAATTTTTATTCATACCTTTTCACCTTACTACCTTTCTGTTCTTGGAGAAATACAAAATGGTGAGTGGCTCCTGTGCCATATCATCTCCATTATGTCTGCAGAAATTGGAAGTTAAAGAGTGAACAGGGCAGAGGCTTGCAAAGGGGAGCAGGATTAACACTCAGTCCCTGCAGTTGAGATTTTGCTGAGTAAATTGGGTTACTTTACTGCTTTCATCCCTGAGGTTTTAGTTCCTGGTATGAGCTGCCCTGCCCTGTTTACCCTGCAGGCAAATGGGTGAAGGGGGAAATGTTCAATGGAGAGTAGTGTAATGCTTTGTAACCTGAAAACTTGTAAAACTTGACACGGGACATGAGACAGAATCCTTCTTAAACGTCCTGGCTGCTTCTGCATTTAGCCTCTGACTGCTCCTGAAATGGCTGCTGAGGGTTTGTTAATCGTGGTGTGTGAGATGTCAGTTGAAGCAGCTCCATTCCTCGATAAAAAACAAGCCATAAAGCTCAGTGGAGGGAGTTCCCAGCTGTCTCATCGTGCCTTACACCCTTCCCCAGGCAGCTGGCTCCTGGAGTTTGAGTCAGAGCATCTCTGGGCAGGTGAAGTCATTCCTTGGAGCTGCTGAGTGATGTGGGATGGGAGGACACTCCAAAGCCTGGGGAACAGCTCCTTCCTGAGTGACACTGCAGCACGTGGTGTTTGCTGTCTGACAGGGAAGGAGCTGCAGTGCAGGACTCCCTCCCTGCCTTCATCCTTCCTTCCTCCACCCCCAGCCTGTGGAGAAAAGGGAAAAGCAGCATGGCTGTGTTACAGGCCTGGGGGTAAAGCAAGGAAGCAGCTCCAGCTGAGAAAGGCTTTGATCTCAGTATTTCTTAACATGGGAGTGGCTGACTGTTTTTTAAGCTACATGAAAGGAGCCTGAAAGCCTCACTGGATTTTCCTACATTTCAAGATGAGAAGCTGAGTGGGTGAGGCACAGCATCTTGTGCTGTATTAAGACTTCTGTTTTCTTGAAGCTGAAAGCTTCCATCTGTTGTCATTCACCACAACTTAAACTGGTTCCACCACTAATGCACTGTCATTTAATACAAGAGCCAGCTAAGGCAGGAGACAGACCTGCCTTGGGCTGGTATGTGGTTAATCTACCCCACATTACAAAGGGCAAGGCTTCCTCTTCCCAGGTCCCACAAACATGAGGCTTTGCTGCTTGTCCCAGTCTTGTTCCCTGGACTACAGTTCCTTGTACCTCTGGACTACCGGCTGTCTGGTCCTGCCAGTTCTCATCTCAAGGACTGGTTCAAGGCTGAGGATGCCACGGCCCTTTTAGCAATGTATTTTCCCTGCCCTGATTTGGGAAGCAGCTGAATCGACCAGGCTGATAAATGGCAGGCACCTGCCCTCCTCTTCTGGAGAATTCTGGTTAGGGCAATAGAAACATTGGGGAAACGGGTATCTGATAATCCTGAAGGAGCTGAGTTTAATATGGCAAATTTCAACTCAAGAATTCAGTAAGGAGCTGGTGGAGTTTGAGAAGGGGCAGCTGTAAAAACAGAAACTATTACCAGACCTATTCCAGAAGCCTTACTCACGGAGTTGTAATGACATCAATTTGATTAAAACATCCAAGTGTGCTGCCAGTGAATTTATAGCTTGTCTAGTTACCATGACAATCCAAAGTTCACCAATATATTCTCTTCTATTTGCTGTCTTTGCTCTACTCTTAGGTTTGGAGTTTTTTTCACTTGTTCCCATTGTGGTTCATGTAACTAGCATTTACTTTAGCCATTCTTAAATTATGTTTAAAAAAGGAGTGGGGAGAGGTGCAGATCTTCACTGTAGTGCCAGTTACTGTTTATGGAGAGTGGAATCAGACCCCTTCTGGATTTGCCCTTGGTATGTGACTGAAATAGGAACAGAGAAACATGTTTAGCTAATGTCACTCAGGATGTTATCTGTGCCTCTGCTATTAAAGGCTTGGAAGAAGACAAACACTTCACCCAGAGAGGCAGGCTGAGGCTTAAGCCTATTCCAACTGACCCTGTGGTAGAATAATGGAATGGTTTGGTTTGGAAGTGACCCTAAAGATCATCTAGTTCTAACCTCCCACCATGAGCAGATGACATTTGGCTCAGCAGACCTTTTGGTCTGACACAACACAATTATCTTCTTGACCCCAATGACATTTTACCATGTTCTGAAGAACATCACCCACAGAGGCTGAGTGAGCCTGCAGAGTTCAATAGGTGTAAACAATCCTTTACCTATAAAAATTCACTACAGTTCTCCAGTGGAGTACTGCAAACTCTGCCAATTACAGACAGTATCCATATGGTCTTCCTGGAACAGCTTTACAGCATGTTCCCCTCCAGTTCCAGGTCCTTAGGATGTGCTGCTGCTCCTTTCTCCTCTTCCCTTGTCTGACCTTTCCCTCCAGTAAGTTGTTAGAGGAAGGCTCAAAAAAGGCAGAACTCAAAGAAATTAAATTCAATCCCCAACTTCCTGCTTTTGTTCAGTGCCAAAAGCACAGCAGGGATCTCTTCTTGCAAGAGCCCAGGACTGCTATTTTTCCTTACTTTGCTCTATGCTGCTCTCTTCCTGTAGGATGGATTGGATTGGGCAACCATTTTTTTCCTCACACTGTGAAAAGAAATCCAATCCTCCAGCAAATGCAGAGCAGTGAACTGCATGATGTGCCCTAAGGAAGTTAAATTATGGCACACTTTGGAGGCTGCACTTGTGCTAATCACTTTCACATAAATAATTTTCCATTATTTAATGCATTTCCATCCTTGTCACATAGCCTTAGCAGCACCACACATAACCACAGGCAGGGGCTGTAGGAGAGGTGGCTCAAAAATCACTGAAGATGTTGTCACAATCACAGGGTGTCCTATAAGCTCTTTCTGCAGCCCTTCCCAGACAGCTGAGGGTCCCTGAATAATTTCACAGGATCAGCAAAATGTATCACCTCGCTGATCAACACACCAAAATAATGCTACATATCAAAAGAGCTTGCTTTCTTTCTTTGGATAACCACAGCCAACCTTCAAAAGTGGAATTCCTCGTTGTCCCCCGCAAGGTCAGAAAGCCATGGGATCTCCTCATGATTTCAGTGTAAAAAAACAAGCTCTAAAGCTCAAGGGCCATCAGGCCTCACAACTACTTCAAGGATGTTTAGAAAGCCAGGAACTAATTGGTAATCAAGTCTGACACCCATTTCCTGAACACTTTTTAGACAACTAAATTAAACCAATATTCCATTGCCATCAGGGTTGCTTTGTCCAATATAACTTCAAGGGCTGCCTCAGTCACGTCTCATCCTCAAAATGAGCATTGGTAGATCACTGAAAACATCAAAGTGTTCTGATAAGAACCAGCTGGACTTTACCCACAGGAGTACTGATGTCAAAGCCTTCACCAGCTGGGTTCCTGGAAAGAAGCACACCAAAAGTTGCAGCAGCAGAACAAACCTATGTACTCAACAGTCATTTAATTAAGAAATCAATCACCTGAGGAAGCACAGAACACAGGTTGTGACAAAGGCTGTGTTATAGTGATTTTCTAGTACTTTTCAGCTTCAGGTGCCACCAGGCTGGGCTGGCAAAGCCATGTTGCAAAGTTCTGCCTCTTTACAGGCCACACCATCATTCACAGGATCTGGCACCTTTGCCACCACAGAATCACAATTCAGCCACAAATGCCAGTGCTGCAATCAGAATTCACTTGGATCACAGCACACATCTATATCTAAAAGCCAGGCTCTAGATTCCCCTGTTGTAGAAGAACTCTGTTTCTTCTGTAGATGACAGAATTTCTGGTTCAAGGTCTGCTCGCTTTATCTGCAATGTAAGAAAAAAGGGAATCAGCACCACCACGGACTGGTAAATGGATGTTAAATCCTTGTTACTGCATTGCACTTTGCACAAATTCAAGAACTGCATTCAGCATTTGGGACTTGAGGCTCTTTGTTTATCTGGGGATTTGAGGATTTTTTTGTTGTTGTTGTTTGGGTTTTTTTGGGTTTTTTTGCTCCTCCAACATTTTCTATATGTGCATACATATGGGAAGAAATACCTGTTATTTGAAAATAGTGGCATTATCTTTGTTCACTATAGAACCACAGAATCATTTAGGTGTGGAAAGACCTTTAAGATCACCAAATCCTGCTGTAAATATATTTGGATGACACACAGGAGAACTTCTGCTGTGGGCTGAGCCATTGGGAAGCCCAAAGGGTGTCAGCCATCCCTAATCTCAGTACATAATTCCTCAAAAGTCCCCTCATTTATGTTCAGTTTGCTTTGCTGTCATAAGAGATTAAGAAATCTAAAAAAAAAAAAAAAAAAAAAAAAAACAACAACTAAAATGCCAGAAAGTTTAGGCAAATAAAAGAAACCACTGAAAACTGCAAGAGCCCAGTCTGTGATTTGCTAAGAATATTCACAGAGAGGAAACAAATGCAGAGAGGCTCCCCTCTCATTTGTCCTTTTCCAAAGCCCAAGGTTCAGGAGCTACATCCTCCATTAAAAACCTGCCAGGAAGCCATTCTTTCCCAGGGAACAGATTACACTTCCCAGTTCAGCAAGGCAGGGTGAAGAGATGTCACATGTGAGCAGGTTTACCTCTCCAGTGAGCTCATGCTGACTTTGAAAAATAAATTCTCATCTACATCTTTCCTTTCTCCTGCAGGACTGAATGCAGTGCTGGAAGAGCCTTGGCTTAAATCTTCAACATACTTCTCCTGACCTTGCTTGCTTCCGACTGTTGTGGAAGTCTGATAAATCTACACTGAGAAGTGTAAATATAAATAACACCCAATGCAACTCAGACCTCAAAAGTCCTGTGAGCCTCTGCCTGGTACATGGGCCTTCACAAGCAGCCCCTCTGCTGCCCCATTTCCGATGTACCACATTAATCCTGTTGATTTTTTTATATGTGGCTTTCAGACTGCTGGCCATAGTTCTGAAAGGCTTATTTAATGTCACAATAATCTTAAACCAATTCCTCTGAAAGGACTTACCTCCCCACACTGTGGGAACATACTAAATGAGGCTGGCAGCATCCCTGCTAGGACTGACATGATCACAAACATCCTCACTGAACCCAAAGCACGAGGATTTTTAACGAATCTTGCTCTGTCCAAGACATTGAAAAAAGTAAGTCAGTATATTGAAAATTAGCCCGACAGTGACACAAAGAGCATTAGCTACTATTTTACTGGTTGAAATTATACTGAAATTAGTAATAATCTAGGCTTATGGTTCCTAAAGATGTTTCCTTACTTCATTTCCTATGTTCTTACTCTTAACTTCCTGTGCTTTCCCTTTGTTTTGTGCTTGCCTGCAGTATTTTCCAAGCCCAGACTGTCAAGATTAGGAAAACAAGCAGCAAGATCAAAGTGACAAAAGAAAAGAAAGTAGTGCTTTAAAGTGGCTCAGTTCCTTGATTAAGATTTTTCTTGCATTACCCTCTTTCCTTACACACTTAGTTCCTGTGGGCAGCCCTATTTTGCCTTGTGCAAAAATTTATCACTTGACATATAGATTTAAAATTTTGTTTTACATCTGCATTTGTCTTCTGGTAACAGGAGTCCCTTAAACTGACAGGAAATCAATTCAGGCAATGTCAAACGACCTGACAGAGATGATCCCTATCTGTACTATATACATGACAAAGATCATGACCAAAAGCTCAGGGCAGGCTAAGAATCCCCTCACAAAGCATACAATGTATTCTTCCTAGGATACAGGGATTTAAAATGTTGAAAAGCAAGAACATGTTTTACAATAGGTGGAAACCTATCTGGAAGTTGGGATCTGGCTTTAGTTGCAAATTCAAGTTCCACATTACCTCTTCAAAAATACAAACCTAATCTAAGTGCTGTGAACAACCTTGATATAGGCATTGAAACTCAAATTTTAAGTTAGGTAACTGGAGGGAGGTAGGTGCTGGAAAACAGCCTGCCAGGAAAGCACAAACATATTTTCTGCATGGGAGCAGAGAGGAAAACCTCATTCCTGCAAACCCTTGGAGCATGGGTTCAGACATAACTAGATTCACTTAAGGATCTCAAAGAATCACAGCAGCTCAACAGCAACTTCCCACATCATCACTTTCTCCAAGGCAAGCAATACTGCAAAACCCAAGGAAAAACCTGGCAAATGCTAACAGCCAGACTGAAAACCAGAGTACCACTGACCAGGCACCTCCAGCCTCTTGCAGTGCCTCTCACCTCTGCACACAGTACATGAGCACTTCTGGCAGGAAGAACGTTGTCCCAAACAAGACTCCTCTGGACAATGCAGTCTCCGTAACAGCCTTCAGGGAGACAGCAAAACAAGTGTTGTCAAAAGAGTGCTCTGGGCAGCTTCAAACACTGCCTTGCTTCTCTGAGTGCTTTTTTTGTCTTTCACTCTGGGGTTTAAAGCAATAAGGGATAACACCTATTAGAGGAATTCTTTCTTAAATGGAAATTAAGAGGCAAATACTCCGCTTATGACAGAGAAATTCCTTAAATTCCTTAAAAGGAAGGTGAAACTACTGATGAGTTTTCCTGCCATGATCATAATTTTGCTAGGACTTGTTTTTCTAAGTTGTGCTGCATTTCAAACAATTGGTTATACCTTCTGGGCATCCTAACTAGCCTGTGTTAAATCTGAAGTTCTCTCTCCAGCTGTCCCCAAATCCTTATGCTCATGCAGTTGTTTCCACAATAAAGTGTCTTATCAGAAGATCCAAGAGTTTTATCTCCTTCTGGAGGTGACCAGAGAAAACAGAGATGTCTGTGCTAGTGTCTCTGGTCCTCAGTATATTGGTCTGGGGAGGCAGCCAACCCTTGATGACACAAAAGTTGTGGAACCTGGTTCCAGAGACCTAATCCAAGCCTGCCCAAAGATTCAGCACCTGATGTGGGATTCATTATTCAAGATATCCCTATCTACTCTCAGCATCACATTCTGTTCTTAGCAGGGAATGAAAGGCAAGTCAAAAAAGTTCTCCATCCCCTCACCTACCTTCTCACCAGCCTTCTTAGACACTCCTATAACCTTGCCATTCCTGTCCATCACTTCTATCCCATTCTCAAATTCTGGGCTTCTCACCACCGCCACAGTAAATGCACTTGTCAAACCTGCAGGGTTAAAGGGGATTTTGCTTTAATAGATCCAAAAGGACTGCCTCAATAGTAACATTCATAATGATGTGATTTTACATTTCCAGTTCAGTAGTTCACAACTGAATAACCTGACAGCTTCAAGAGACACTGCCCCATGAAAATCTATTTGGGATCTGAATCTTTGTTTGAAACTTAAGAGAGACTGAAAGGCTTCAGTCCTAAAAAGTGCTTTGTCATTATGGATTCAGAGCTTTAAAATCATTTCTATCCAGCTCAAACTGTGAGTGCTTTGTCTTAAGAGAAAGTGGAGGGATTTCTGCTGTGGTTAGGTTTTGTCCTGCTCAGCATAAAATCCAGCACAGAAGACAAAATCCTGAAAGGAACAGAGTTTCAGAAAAGGCTGCATCCTGCATTGAAAGGAAGGCCATAGACTGTCAAACTGACCTTGCTTGAAATAAGAGATTGCTCTTTTTAATAGCTCTTGGTAGGGCTATTCAATAAAGACATCAGTGTACCAGAGGAAACTTTGCAAATGCTGGACTACCATTAATTGATTACCCTCAGGCTTCCTTCTACATTTAAGAAAATGGAACATTTTACATTTAACAGCTGCTTCAAAGGAAGCAAGTGAGAAACCTCTAATGTAAGACCTCAGAAAGATCTGAGTAGGCATCTCACATAATTTGAAACAGAGGAGATGATGCATTTTAATTTTAGCAATTTTCCCTTAAGAAAGGCAAAAATTTTCTATAATGGCAATAGAAACACAATTAACGACATTAACCAGTTAAACTTGTCCTGGTGAAACTTCACCATGGCAGTAGAGTTGTCGCTGTAATGAACTGAGTCCCACTTTGCTTGCAAGATTAATAACACCCTGCTGGAACACATCTCACTTTCTGCACTCCCAGAGCGATGTCGCACTCTGGTGTCACAGACGTGCCACACCAGGTCATGGCAGTGCTGCTGTTACTGCCCTCCTGATCTGTCCTGATGCTTTCAGGTACGTGTACAAAGGGCACAAGAGTGCTCCGCAGCTCTGAAACTAAACCCAGCAAGAATCCAGTGAGGTTGGGGACTGTGCAGTGAGAGCTGTCTCCCACAGAAAGAAGGGGGCCAGCAAAGGCAGCCAGGGAAGAAACAGTGAGACCACAACTGTGCAAAAGCAAGAAAACTCTACAGTCAGACAGGCAAATGGCCCTCAGGCCAGCTGCACGATGCAGTTTGCTTCTACTCACCAAACAGAGGAGCAGGGAGAAGTTTTCTGACGACAAGTTGCATTAATGAGCTCTTCAGCACATAACGATTCATGAAGGCAAGAGGGAGAGCCTAAGGCATGAAGAGGAAACAGGCACCCTCCATTGAAAAAATGTGCAGCATTAAGAAAATAAATCTGTGACTTAGTAAGTAGTTAACATCTATGAAAATAAACAAATGCCTTGGTTTAACGTTCCAACAAAATATACGCCTACTCTAGTTAAAGAAGGTGCTTGTAACCACACTTTTAGATAAGATTTAAAAACATGGTAAATAAAGCATTCAACATTATTATATAGAGGACAGCAGCAGGGAGAATACAAAGACAGAAAAAATAAAATAATTACCTCTGACTTATATTCCTTGGAAATTTATCCAACTGCATTTTGTCACACATTCATCTCTCCCCCAAAACAGAAAATCTGGTTTGCTTCTGTATTTTTCCTGATTCTCTGCAGTTTCAGCCCAATTCTATATTCCCATAATATACTTGCAGGAAGTTTCATTTAGGAATAAAGGTCTAGGACACCAGCTGGTCCTCTAAGATTCCTTTGAAAGACAAAGGGAAGCACTCCCACAACGACCCATGGGCAGGGCTGCCTCCTCAGATTTCTGTAAGCCCCGAGCAACCCTAGCCAGCTGTTCTGACCTGCAGTGGGCAGAGGTGAAACCCCCTCTAAAAGAAGCAAAAACTATCACATTTTTCTGCCAGAAGCTTATGAAAATCACTTCATGTGGGGGGCAAGGAGAGGCATCACAGAGACATCTACACTTGTGATGAGAGTCATGATGAGCTCATTTTGATGTAGCAAACTCCAAAAACCATAAATTCCTATTCCAGCAGAGAGCACAGGGTGAGCTCCCTTCTGGAAGACTTATTTCCCTGCATCCAGTGCAGTATTTGCACGACTGCTGCTCCTGGGATCTGAGCAAACACTGTCTAGTACTTGCAGATCTCACCCCTTGTTTGGAGTTGGATCTCTTCCACAGCACCACATCAAAAATCAGCTACAACACCCCAGTGGCTCACTCTGTGCTTGTAAACACTGGCCAGCTTCTCTCACCACCTGTTTGCTAAGCTTGCAAAACAATAAAGAAAATGACACAAGAGGAAGCATCAGGGGAAGCCACATAAAATAATGGCTGACAGATAATCAGAAAGTATTCTGAACAGTTCTGTGGCAAGACATCAGAGTAGAGCACCAGAGCACAGTCCTGAAGGATATCTGGCACTGTGGTTACCTCAGTGCCTACTCCTTCTCTGGAGATCTTGTTAGGAAAGCAATCACTGAGCAAATACTTACACCAACACAGGCTGAATAGGAAATGGCTAACAAGCCAAGAAAGATCTGCTTTTGACGAAGTGAGTATTCCTAAGGACAGAAAAAACAAACTGCATAAGTATATTGTAAAACACTTGCAAATCAAGTTCAAAATGGCATTTGCACAACTAAGATGATAACAAAAATAAAAATCAACACTCACTTCAGCCTTTGGGGTGCCATTTCCATTTACCAGAGTGAATGCTGTGGTGTATGTGTGAAACACAAACTGCAGAAACAAGAGATTATAAGAAAAATTGAATTCAGGATTGAGACTAGGTGACCTGTAAAAGTAGAAAGTAAGAGGCAATTACCTGCCAAAATAAAGAATGCTTTGCCTGGCTCTGAACAGATGAAACAATGACCTAAGAGGAAAAATGCATAAGAAAATGAGGTTTGAAGAGTGTAGAGGTTTTTGGTGCAGGAGCACCAGTAGAACTGCTGGGGAACCACTGGCAGCAGTGTCAAAGGCTCCAGCTGTTGCCCAGAGCCATCAGCCTTGGTTCTAGGCTTTCACATTCTCTTGTTACAGAGGTGACATGCTCATTTTTCTATTCAATAGAAAGCACACAGACAGGTATAAAACACAGACAGATAGTGGTAAAACATTATGTGCAAGAATATTATAGCAAGATGCTTTCTTACCCAAAAGAAAAATGCATTTGTGCCTGTGAAGCTTAAATAGATGCAAATAAAATAACTAAGGTAGCAAAAGTCTAATTAAAGAAATGATTGAGAAAAAGATTGGTTTTGCTGGGGATATGAATACTAACTTAGATCTAAAACCAAAGATTTTAGGAGTTAATTCCCATCTTCTTCTCAAATTCAGACAGTGAATAAGAACTTCAGTTTTAATAAACCACAACCTTTCTTGAGGTATCAAGCTCAAGAGGTGGCACACTTTCAAAAAAACAGTCAATCAAGATATGAATACAAAATAGTGAATGAGAGAAAGGCTGAGAATCTCCAAAGCCTCAGAGAAGGATCAGTAATTCATTTAATATTAGTGGATCAACCATCTTATTATTAATGCAAACACTGACTCTAATCATATCTATGAGAATGCATTAAACTGCAAATATAAAAAAGAAGTATTTCTACTCATTTTATTTCTGCTATTAATGAATTTAACAGCCATCAAGACTTTCATTGTACTTTCTAGCAGTGCCATGTAGGCTCATGCTGTAACATCTGTATGGAATGACATATCTCAGGATGTGCACTCATAGGCCAAGCCCAAACCCAAAGAATCTAAACAAACAAATATGCACATAATTACAGCTACAAATTTTATGAAACCACATGGTGCCATTTTCTGAGCACAATAACAGGAGTTTACTTCTATATATTTGATAATTTACTCACAACACCATTTCCTACTTGCAAATGCACCATCTACATAAGAAAAAAATCATATTCTGGATCTGAGACACAGAATGTAAGGCTCCAACTCCTTCCCACTGCAGTTCCAGATTTTTGAGGCTGAACAGACCAAACCCAGGCCTTGCTCTCATTGCTGAGTGATCTTACCTTGCATCAGAAAGCTGTCCTTCACACATGAACAATCTCTTGGAATGCTGCTTGAGAAGGGTAACTAACAGCTTTGGACTTCAGGAAGATTCTCTCAGGGCTTGATTTCCAGGTTACTCAGTGCTTCCCATAAAACAGGTATCTTTCAAACAGCTTGTGCTGAAGCTACAATAAAGCCCCAAAACTTCTATTCCCTCCCTCCAGCCTCTGGCTATGGAAAATGGAAGACTTGCTGGATGCACACTGGCATCTGTCATGATTACTCACCAAGGGAAGAGTTATGGGCATGAAAGCTAAAAAGAAAGAAAACTTTATTTCAGTAAAATTAACGTCTGTGAGTGAAGATGGATGGTCTCGAGCAGAAATTTCCCCTAACTTCTCCTGTCTACTTCCATCTCCAAGCAAAACACTGCCCACAAACCCCAGCATCACCATTAACTCCAACCCTAAGCTTTATCTCTCACTCCTCACTTAGGAAGCCACAATCCCAGATTTTACAGCCAAAAGGAGCCCTCACGAGCTCCCCTCACCAGAGCTGCTTGGAAAGCAAATAACTGAACACAACTTCAGCTCTCTGTTCAAAAAGAGAGGTGTCACAAAAGCTGCCACAGTTATGAGTGTTCACAGGAGATAATGAGTAAATAGCCTCAGTATGGTTATATCTCATTAACAACCTGTGCTGCCTAAAGAAAACCCTAAGCACACTTGATCTGTCACCAGAAAGTAAATTCATCCAGCAGCCACAGCCATCAAGGGAAATACTTAAATTACAGCAGACACTTAAATGTGGAGGGATTTGGGAACTCATTCTGCAGCAACAAGAAGCAGAGACTAATCAGTGTTTCTATCTACATGAGAAGATTATCCCAGGGAGAAATTCCTCAACAGGAGCATAGGAAAAAATAAATAAATTTTTAACACATATAACAATGCAACTAACAGAAGAGTCTGCTTGCTTTTCTATATGGAGAGTGTCACTGTGGTGTCACAGCAACTATTTACCAGGAGCTATTCCCCCTGATGCTTCAATCACACAAAATTTCACTTAAGGGAACCTACCAGGAGGTCTAAACAAAACAGGAATTATCTTGTCTGTATCAGGATGTATGCTGGACTTAAAAAGAAAAAAAAAAAAGCAAATTAGAACATCTTTGCCATACTTGAATAAGGGAAAAATAATTAATCTAAATATTTTGTAAACTTACCAGGCTTAGTAAGAAGGCTTGTTTAGTCTACAACAGTTGGAAAATTAGGTTAGTAATTGAATTTCTTATGAGGCTGGGTAAAATCTTCTTTCTAAATTTATTCTATGTCTTTTTCTAATCACTTCCTTTTATACAAAGTATATATATTTCTACATCCCTTTAATTATATTTTCCTCTAAAATGTCTCTCCTGTTGAATATAAAGCACTCACATCCCATGGGCTGTGTAACACACTAAGCACACACTAAGGCAGAACAGAAGGTTAATTTTAAAAAGTTAAAACTAGTAGGTATTTTAAAACATAAAACAACAATTAAATATGGCTAAACACTTATGTTAAGACTTTAATTGCAGTCCAAAATACCTGATTATTCTGTATGGGCTCACTTAGGGTCTTCTCATTGTTTTGTATTAATAACCTGGTTCTTTGTATTTCATTCTGTATTTGAGAAAAAAAAAAAAAACAAAACAAACAAAACCCCCTCAGATTTCAATATTCTGGGTGCAACATATCAGCTATAAAACACTGCAAATACAAACCTAAAAGCTAATGACGCACCTGTTCCTCACCTGAGCAGTGAAAGCAAGGACACACCTAGACACAATGAATTCACAATCATAGAAACTTTTAAATTATTGGGATAATTCAACGGCTGGCACAGCAGCCATGGTCTGAGCAGGGCTGCTGAGATAGTTGTGCCTAGAAATGTCCCTTGGTTTGTATGATCAGATACAGAAGTGCATACACCTGTATTTCTGTTTATTGGAGAATTGTGGAACGCTTCGGGTTGGGAGGGACCTTGAATCCCACCCAGTGCCACCCCTGCCAGGGCAGGGACACCTTCCCAAACCCCATCCAACCCGGCCTTGGGCACTGCCAGCGATCCAGGGACAGCCACAGCTGCTCTGGGCACCTGTGCCAGGGCCTGCTCACCCGCACAGGGACAAATTTCTTTCTGCTATATCATCTAAACTTCCTCTCTGTCAGTTTAAAGCCATTCCCCCTTGTCCTATCACCCCGTGCCCTTGTCCAGAGCATCTCCCCAGCTCTCTTGCAGCCCCTTCAGGCACTAGAACATTATATTTGCTGCTAAATTCCTCATGTATTTCCTCTCCTCAGCAGCCCTACAATGACCCCGCTTCACAGCCCGGCAAATCCACAATCCCCTCGCTCACCTCGACCCTCCCCGCGCGGTACTCACGGTGGACTTGAGGAGCAGCAGCGGATCCAAGGCGTCCGACCAGAGGAGAAACCTCTGGAAGAAAGACTGAGGGAGACACGTTTGAGAGAGACGAGGAGTTATTTCGGACCGTGCCTAAGCGCGGCCCGTCCCCACACCGCGGCCCGCACTGCCCACCTGCCCCTCCGCCCTCCAGAAGCGCAGCTTGGCGTCCATGGAGCCGCGGCGCCGGAAGCGCGGCCGGGCCCGGTCCGCTGCCGCACGCTCCGCCCGGGCACGGAGCCGCCGCGCCGGGGCCCCGCTGCCGGCAGCGCATCGCGGGGGACGGGGCCCACAGCCTTTTCCCTTTCCAGCGGCCTCCCTGGGGAAGGCAAGGTCCTATGGCCTTTTCCTTGTCCAGCGGCCTCCCGCGGGAAGGCAGAGCCGGGGAGCCGAGCTGCGGACAGCGGAGGGAGAAGGCCAGGCCAGGTGAAGGTCGGGGTGTCGCGGCCCCGCAGGCACAGACCGGCCACTCGAGGTGCGGCAAAAAACAGGCTTATCGGGAAAAATTCCGCGGTTATATTTCACAAAACAACCAAACAGCGGGACTGAAAAGATTTGCAAGTAGTGGGACCTGGAGCAGAAGCAGGCACGGCACCACTTCAGGCTCATTTTTTTAATCGTTTGTTACATTGGAGCATTCATCCCCATTATAAAGCTAACTTAGGACTCGGCCACCTTGTGCTGCTTCTCTTACAGGGACAGAAGATTAAAAACAGAAACCCACTGAGTATTGTATTGATCTGTGCAGTCCCCCCACGACTTTGTGTCCAGGGGCAGCTGTGAACTGCTGTGAACAAAGGTGCGGGACAGAGCTCCCGAGGCAATGAACAAACACATCCAGTTCCTTCAAAATAGACAAACGGGGCTTAGGGGGAAAGGGAAAGAAAAGCAAAGCACCACACCTGCTGCTAGGCCACATTAAGATTATTTTATTATAGCTAGAGCGATGCTACATCAGTTTGAAGCAGTACAAGAGTCAAGCAAATTCAAGTGAAAGGAAACTTGCCATTAAACTCCAGTAAGTGCACTGTGGGGGTTCAAGTTTTTACCATCTACCAAACCGAAGTAAAGGTCATGCTTGTTAGTGCTCCTGAGTAGCTGCACTGCATCTTTTCTTTTTTTTTTCTTGAAATGGCACATATTTACATTCATTCTGTGTTTTAGTGCATTTACACACAAAACTAATGATTTTTAAATTATTTTTACTTGTTACATTCATCTCTTCCTCTGTAAAATTCATTAAAAACAAACCATGTATCAAAATTCTATCCTTTTATTTCTTCAAAATTTTTTTTCTTTTGGACAGAATTTTATGTTGTGTGAGAAAATTAAATGCAGGACATTTTCTGGTCCAAAATGAGTTAAAGGGAAAAGCCAGTGGAAGGCAATTGTAACTTGAGTACTTATCACATTCAGGAAGATGATTAATGGTCACAGAAATCCATGAAACTGAAGTTGCAGAAGACAGGGGGAAAGCCCTAGTTTTACCCTTTTAAAGGAAGACAAGGGAGTCAGTAAATATCTCAGCATTTAATTTCTTCTTAAACATGAGAAAATGAGAAATTTTATTTTAATTATTAATTTTTACAATCACAGCTGTTTTCCTAATGTCTTCAGTGGATAAAAGTAAGAGTTTTGTCCACATATTTGAGTGTTTATTTATGCACTTTTTCAAAATATTCTTTGGAACCTTCCGGGCTTGGTTTGATCTGTCAAAAAAATAAAGTTTAGTTATTACTTGGTATAGATACAATAAAAAAATTACAATTTGACACTTTTTCCAAGAAAATCCATGCATACTTTGTAGAAACAGTAATCTAATTCTGTTTCTGTACTTGGTTGAAAGACAAAAGCCTAGATCACGCACAACTCCTACCTGAAAATTTTAAGTATAAACCACATTTTTCCTGTTAAATTATGATGTATTAAAGAAGTTAAAAAAATCTGAACTCAGTTAATACAGAGTCCAAGTCAAATCTAGAGTTTTGAACAGAACTTGCATCTCCTGAAAGGAAACCAGTAGCTTTCTTCACAGAAATCCCACACTTAGTATCAGTCAAACAAACTAAATTGGCCCAACCGGTAAAAGCTTTGTGTTTAAACAGGCAGAGATTCAGTCAAACACCTCACATCCGAGTGGATCCCAGCCCTTCAGACAAGCAGAATCAGGCCAGTGCCTATCTTTAGGAGGATTATATTTAGCACTGAGCAGGCACTCACCGTTGGGGAGTCTGGAGTCCAGTTAGCCGGGCACACCTCTCCGTGTGTCTCCACGAACTGGAAAGCCTTCACCAGGCGCAGCGTCTCCTCCACGCTGCGCCCCACGGGCAGGTCGTTAACACTCAGGTGCTTGATGACCCCGTTTGGGTCAATGATGAACAGACCTCTGCAATGGAGCAGGAGTTTAGGGAAGGCAAATCATGTTCCAAGGCCAAACACAAGGAACTGGATGCACAGTTTCAGCAAGGCTGTTACTCCTAGTTACATGCATCAGAAGCAGAACGACAGCATTTGGTATCTTGTTTGTTAGCAAAGTGATGCACTGCTATGTGAAATTACAAAGTATGCAGAGATTATTCAATCCAGGCAGACACAGCAAAGGGAGAACTCCATGTTCCACCTGTACTTCAAAACTGAAAGCTGGCATCCCAAAAGACATGGGTCTTTTTGGTCAAATCTGTAGGCACCGAGTGAAGAGCTGCTTGTGCATTATGCCACTGAATTAAATCCCGCTGCATACATGCACATGTGAAAACCCAAGTCCCAATCTTACCTTACTCATTTACTTAATCTATCAGTAAACAAATCAAAGAGTCAAAAGCTCCTGATCCAAAGAGATCAGGAACTAAAGGCCTCCAGAAGACTCCTACCCAATCCACTCAGGACTACTATGGAAAAAAGGTATCAGAAATTGCCCTTCAATGCTGCTCTTTTTCCTTAGTGATATGGAGCTCTCCCCATCTCTCAGAGCAGAAAAGCTGGCTTTTCCTTCACACACTTTCAGCCTGAAGCCTTACTCAGCTTCATGGCCAGAATGGCCAGTTGCCCTTTTCCTAGGGTGGGATCCAGCCACCCTACTGCAGCAGAAGAGATGTCACAGCCTTCACCTGACACCATTTCCCTGCGTGAGGGACAGTGGGCCATATGTTGGTGAGACTGGGTTGTGTCACAGCACAGCTACCTGCAGTTGAGCCTCACCTCAGTGCTATGCCAGGTCCTTCCAGCAGCACCCCATAATCACGGGAGATCTGTTTCGTGAGGTCCGACAGAATTGGAATATTCATTTTGCCCAAACCGCCGCTCTAGAGAACAGAGGAAGGTTTCACTTGGTTACAAAAAGCTCCATAGGATCATCCTTCCTGAGCTGCTGGATTCCCTGTTCTTCAGGGCACAGTAACAACAAAACACAACCACGGCATCTGCTCCATGAAAGGAACCAACTGTGTGTGGTGTTGCTTGGGTTTACTTTGTCTGTTTGTTTTAAAGTAGTCAAGAACAGTTTGTTTCTTCAGAAAGCTAAAATTTCTTTTGCACTGAGCATTTTAGAATTGCTTATTTTGGTGGTAAGAGGCTACCAATGACAACAGCCATAAATTTCCAGAAAAATTTCCTTTGTACCCTATTCAGGAGCTTTGAATAGAAGAATTTCTGCTGCATATTTGCGTGGTCAGAATTAAATAGGAGAACCATGGTGCAGAGGGAAGGGAAACAAACCTGTGAACAAACTTTGGAGCACATGTCTGATGAGGAACAATAGGGGAGCTGAGGATATTTAACCTGGAGAAAAGGAGGCTCAGGGGTGACCTTTATCACTCTCTACAACTACCTAAAAGTGGGTGTAGTCAGGTGGGAGTAAGCCTCCTCTCCCAGGTAACATAGGACAGGACAAGAGGAAATAGCCTCAAATTGCACCTGGCGAGGTCTATGTCAAATATTATCAAAAATTTCTTCACAGAAAGGATTGTCAGGTACTGGAACAGGCTTCCCAGGGCATGGGAAAAAAAAACATGTGGATGTGGCACTTGAAGACCTGGTTAATGGTGACCATGGTGATGGTGGTGAGTTGGATTTCATGATCCTAGAGGTCTTTTTGAACCTCAACAATTCTATGACTCCAAACACAATGCTCCTACCAGCACACTAGGTATGTCAGAGTTCTGCTGCTCTATTCAGTGCACGCATTTTTTTTAGTTTTGCCTCTCACAAATCAATTTAAATACTATTTGAAGAGTCAAACAAGATTTCTTTCAGTTCTGCCACATACTGAGTTTGCAAGAGAGATAAGCTCTCTAACCTTGAAACAAGGCTGGAGTTTGTTAGCTTTGCTATTCTTGGCATCATCAGTGAATCACTGTGTAACCTCAGCCACTCAGACCCTGATCCTGCAAACACTTGTCTGTAACAGAGTTCCCTACAGAGAGCTTTGAGCACAGATGTCAGAGAAACCAAGGCTTCACCTCTTCTGGGTGTCAGTTTCCTGCCTGTGCCACCATGGAATTATTTCCACCCTGTGGAAAGGGTGTTTTGAGTTGGGCTCCATGATCTTTATGGGTCCCTTCCAACCCAGAATAGCCTGTGCATCTGTAAAATACAATGTGCACCACTGACATACCCTGAACACCTTTGGGATAAAGCTGTGAAATCAGGCCAGTCACATTGCTGAGCTTTGAACAAAGCATGCAGAAAAGAAATACTCTTGACAGGCTCAGCCAAGGTGTATTAAATCCAGCAAACTCTCCTCCCTCCCCTGTGTGTTCCAGTGGTGCCCAGCCTGCAGCACTCCTGCACACTGTCCACACAGGCTGGGACTGATGGCACAGGCGCTTCTGCACCTTCCTGGGACACCTGTGGTTCTCTACAACTACCTAAACCAGGGAGATGCTTTATGTCGTCAAAAGCAGATGTTTTTAAATACATCTGAAAGAGGCTCCTCTCCAGTAAAAGGCTGTCTTCATCACTTTCCTTTCCTAAACGAAGTCAAAAACCTCCACTTGTACTGCAAGAAGAGAACCCTTTCTGTTAAAAAAGGTGAAAGTGGTGATTCTTCTGCTTCCATCCTGAAGCCACCGCTGTTGGGTGCTTGTTCACAGTAATGACTGAACAGCTGCTGCTCTTTTTCGGTGATAGTTTTTGTGCATTATCAGCTGTCACAGGCATCTTAGGACGGTGATAAGTAAACTGAACATTTGTCTTTTGAGATAAATGTACAAGG